GTAAATTGATTATAAGGCCATCACCAACCAAAATTAATAATGAAGCACCAAAGTTCCTTGAACGAATTCAAGGGGATATTTGTGGACCAATACATCCATCATGTGGACCATTCCACTATTTTATGGTATTAATTGACGCATCCAGCAGATGGTCACATGTTTGTCTATTATCATCTCGAAATATGGCATTTGCGAGATTTCTAACTCAGATAATAAAACTGCGAGCTCACTTTCCTGATTATCCCATTAAGAGAGTTAGATTAGACAACGCTGGTGAATTCACATCCCAAGCATTCAATGATTACTGCATGGTAATCGGAATTGAAGTTGAACATTTTGTGGCTCATGTCCATACACAAAATGGATTGGCTGAATCATTAATTAAGCGTCTGAACTGATTGGAAGACCATTGATTATGAAATCAAAACTCCCAACATCTGTATGGGGGCATGCTATTTTGCATGCAGAAGCACTCATTCGGATAAGACCAAGTGCGTACCATAAGTACTCCCCGTTACAATTAGCATTTGGTCGAGAACCAAATATTTCCCATCTAAGGATCTTTGGTTGTGCGGTTTACGTGCCTATAGCGCCACCGCAACGAAAAAAGATGGGACCACAAAGACGGTTGGGAATATATATTGGATATGATTCTCCATCTATTATACGATACCTAAAACCACTGACTGGTGATGTTTTTACGGCACGATTTTCCGATTGTCACTTTGATGAGAAGGTATTCCCGGTTCTAGGAGGAGAAAATAAGGGTGTAGGAAAGGATATCAAATGGAGTGTACCATCTCTGTTACACCTTGATCCTCCCACTAAGCAGTCAGAACTAGAAGTTCGACGAATTATGCATTTGCAGAGTATAGCAAACCAGCTACCTGATGCATTTGCAGATACCAAGACGGTTACTAAATCACATATACCAGCTGCAAATACTCCAGCTCGTATTGATATACCACAACAACGTGGAAAAGCAGATGATACACGTGAGTCTAGAACACGCTTGAAGCATGGTAGACTTTTCGGTTCTAAGAACAAAAATCCTAGAAAACGAAAGGAGGCTGAAATGCATAATACTCCCAAAATAGCAGAAAGTATTTTGGAAGAAGCAAATGAAACTAATGATAATCCAGAGCAACATGAACCTGAGAAAAATCATGAGATTTCCATAAACTACATCCATAATGGAAAGATATGGAATAGAAATGAGATGGATGATGTTGACGACGTTTTCTCATACCTCGTATCAAAGGAAATAGATGATGAAAATGAAGATCCAGAGCCAAGGTTTGTATACGAATGTCAAAAGAGGCAAGACTGGCTGAAATGGAAAGATGTTATACAAGTTGAGCTAGATTCTCTTGATAAACGAAATGTATTCGGACCAATTGTACTCACACCTGGAGATGTGAGGCCGGTTGGATACAAATGGGTTTTCGTTCGGAAACGAAATGAGAAAAATGAGATTATGAGATACAAAGCTCGTCTTGTGGCACAAGGTTTTTCTCAAAGACCTGGAATAGATTATGAGGAAACATATTCTCCCGTTATGGATGCAATCACATTTAGATTCCTGATGAGTCTAGCTGCTGATGAAAATCTAGAGATGCGTCTCATGGATGTCGTTACAGCATATTTGTATGGAACATTAGATACAGATATCTCTATGAGAATCCCTGACGGATTTAAGATGCCTGCAGCATTAAATTCTAAACCCAAAGAATTATGTTCAATAAAATTACAAAGATCATTGTATGGGCTAAAACAATCTGGACGTATGTGGTACAATCGTCTCAGTGAACATTTAACAAAAGAAGGATATGTTAACAATCCTATATGCCCATGCGTTTTCATCAAGAAAACAACATCCGGATTTGTAATTATCGCGGTATATGTTGATGATCTAAATATTATCGGAACTCATGGGGAAATACAAAAGGCATCAAATTATTTAAAAGGAGAATTTGAGATGAAAGATCTCGGACAGATAAAGTATTGTCTTGGCTTACAAATTGAGCACTCTGAAAAGGGTACATTTGTGCATCAATCCACATATACGAAAAGAGTGTTAAAACGCTTTAATATGGATAAATCAACTCCTTTAAGTACTCCTATGGTCGTTAGATCACTTAAGGTTGAGAATGACCCATTTCGACCACATGAGGAAAATGAAGAGATACTTGGTCCTGAAGTACCATACCTTAGTGCAATTGGAGCCCTTATGTACCTAGCCAATTGTACACGGACTGACATATCATTTGCTGTTAATCTTCTGGCAAGATTCAGCTCGTCCCTTACACGAAGACATTGGAACGGAATCAAACATGTCTTTCGTTATCTCCAAGGGACTATTGATTTAGGTTTGCTCTATCCTAAAAATTCAAAAGGTCAAATGATTGGTTTTGCAGATGCAGGATATTTATCGGATCCACATAAAGCCCGATCACAAACAGGATATGTATTCACGATCGGAGGCACTGCTATATCTTGGCGTTCTCAGAAGCAGACGCTCGTGGCCACTTCTTTGAATCACGCTGAAATTATCGCGCTCCGTGAAGCAAGCAGAGAATGTGTATGGCTGAGATCAATAAGTCAACATTTCCAATCAAGCAATGGAATTCACGTAAATACGGAACCAACTATCTTATATGAAGACAATGCTGCATGTGTTGCCCAGACAAAGGAAGGTTATATCAAAAGTGATAGAACCAAACATATCCCTCCAAAGTTCTTCTCATACACTCAAGAGCTCGAGAAGAATAAAGAAATTGAAGTAAGATATGTCCGATCTTGCGAAAACGCAGCAAACCTCTTCACAAAATCATTGCCGACCACTATGTTCCGAAAACATGTTCATAATATTGGAATGCGCCATCAACGAGACTTATAGAATGACATCTAGTCATTCGAGGGGGAGCTTGCGTAGTTGTACTCTTTTTACCTTCCATGGTTTTTCCCACTGGGTTTTCCTGGAAAGATTTTTAACGAGGCAACAAAGGCAAAACGCAAAAGAATAAATAGTAAAGTCGGTCTCCAAGGGGGAGTGTTACAAAAGTCAGGAAAGCAGCAATTTACAAAGTCAAACATTGTGGCGATAAATGAAAAACGTGAGTAAATTTGTGGAGCCTGGATTCACTATTTACGTATAGTAACTCAAACTTTTTACGTCTATATATACAAAAGAAATTCTTCGATTGTAAACACACAAAACATTTTCATTCTCAATAACATCCTCCTCTCTCTCTTTTACTTTCTCGCTCTCTCTTTTACGAGTATCCTGTTCTTTTGCGGGTATAAAATTTTCGTTTTCATTTATATTTATCTATATAATAAATTATACCTATCTATTATATAAAGACTCAGTTGAGTCTCACAAGTTTGACACATAAACACTCCCTTTTTTTACACATCAGATTTTGAAAAAATTAATTTTCTCAATTCCAAAAAAAATATAATTCATTAGCCATGACACAAGTACAAATGTAGTTTGCATCTCGAAAAGTCATTCTCTTACAATAAAAATGAAATGCATTGAACTTGTAATGTTACCACTTCGTAAAGGACACCCAAAAAATTGAACGACGCTAAAATAAATTCAAAGAATCAATAGCCATAATCATATATTATTATAAAATGGAGCGGCATTCCACCTATTTTTCATCTTTCTCTTACACGCTCAAAGAGCTCCAGTAATCAGATATAGCGTCACTGCAGTCACGTTCATAATCAACATTGAAAAAGAATTAAGGTCTTGAAATAACATATCCAAAATGCAGATTTCTTGTGTTACTTTTGTTTTAGTGATTGTGGCTTTTGGTGTTCAAGATCAGAAAGGTGATCAAATTCATGGATATAATCACTCTACGTGTCTACGAGGAGGCAATGATAACTAATCCTTCCCTCATAGAAAGAGAGCTAGGAACAAGGTGTATGTAGCGTAATTACACTATATATATGTATATATCAATATTCCTATTTTATGTATATATACATAAGAAAAACTTTATGAACCATTAAAATAATTATTTCTTGTTTCCATATTAATTTAGTTTTATACGACATTTTTTGTTGTTCGCAAAACATTGAAAAAACCATAAATAGTTTTTGTTTATTGCATTCATGAAAATTTATGATATCTTTGTATGTGTAATTCTCTGGTGCCTAACAATATTAGGTTTAGAGCAGATGATATAACAAACGAAGTTAAAGTTTTAGAGGCATTTTTTTTTCTGTTCAATTTCTGTTTATAGTTTTCGTACATCTTTTGAAGATACATAAGACTGACATATAGTGAATGCTTCACTCAATCTAAAATTAGCTATAAAATTTTTTTACGTAGTGCCTTATTTTTCTGTCACATAGACAAAATTCATTATGTATCAGGAGAATATAATGCCCAAACTTTATCATATTTACTACGCTCGAACTTTATATCTTTTAACAGAAAAATGAATATTTAGAAAGAAATTTTTGTTTTTAATATTTATTACCCTAAACAGAATTCAAAGGATTTGAGATGAGATTTAAAGCTAAGCTGAAACAAACAAATGCAATATTTTGTATTTTATTTTGTGTCGATGAATGTACATATTTGTTAACTTTATTTCATTAATAAAAAAACAGAAATATGTAATAAACAGACAGATATATGTCTAATAATAATTTAAAGAAATAACAATAGAAAGTGGTTTGCGATTACGTAATTCTATTATGATTTAGAAAATTTAAATTTGCACATATATATATATATTATTGATAAATTAAACTATTATATATATAAAAATTACGGCGTGTACACGCGGGGTTTTATCTAGTTATTATAACAGTTTGGTAATAGAATACTAGGAGAGAAAAAGTGAATAATGATAATCGTGAAGGTAAAAGGCCAATAAGAAACGGTAAACCCTCTAATTAAGTCAGAGGATTAAGTTTTGTTCAATCCAACGAGAAGAAAGAATACGACAAAATCTGGAAAACCTACTTCCTGTTTTCAACAATTTATCGGTGTCAAAAAAAAAAAAAATAATTTATCTTCGAGCTCCTTTGCTCTGTCTCAGTCCGCCGAATTCTTTGATTTGTTACTTAATTACAAATGGGTTTCTCCAAAGATCAGCTGCTTAATCATCTTCAGGTTTATGTCATCTTCATCTTAAACTCAATTACGGACGAAATTACTTCGTTTATACTTGATTCGGTTTATATTATCTTTACTTAATTCGGCATTAATAGATTGATGAGCAGAATAGTCTCTAACACGAATTTCCCAATAATTGTTGTTTAGATTAAATCGGATTTTTGGTTCTTTGGTGAAGAATCGTTTTGTTTGTATCAAGTTTAATCCAATTTTCTCTAGTGTTACACGCTTTGTGTGTGTAATTGATAGTTGAGAATTTCAATCTAACTATTAATCTTCTCGATCTTTTCAGGAACTTGAGATTGATTATTCCAAGTATGAGCATCCTCCTGTTCTAACAGTCGAAGCACAGGTGAATATAACCAAAACAATTTTGCAGATTTTATAAATAATCGATGAACAAGTATAGAATGTTAATAGATGGATTTATAAATCTTATTCAGGCTAAGTATGTAAGTAGTAGCGAGGGGGCACTAAGTAAGAATCTCTTCTTGAAGGTAATCTTCAAAGTGATACACCATTAACCTCATTATCCACTAGAAACCCATTTGGGAGTAAGAATATGCTTTGGATTTTTGTAGGACAAGAAACATCGATATTACATCGTTTCAGCTATGGTAGATACAAAAGTTGACATTAAAGGTAACACCTTTTTTCGTTTTGTGGATATCGACATACATTTCCATGTATCGAAGTCACTAGGCTTATGAAATCGGAATGTTTCTTGTTTTTTTTTTTGATGTTAATGGTTGTTTCCTGTGACTTCTTATCCCAACAGTTTTATCTCAGAGACTTGGTCTTGGAAAAGGAGGAATAAGAATGGCTCCTGAAGAAGCACTTGGTGAGCTATTGCAGGTATTATTTCATTGTCTCCTTCATTTGCTTATCGTTCTGTAGCAATCGAGATCAGGGTAGCGATTGTTTTCTTGACAATTGACGAGAATGCTTAAGATGATTTATTTGTCCATGGTGATAAGTTTGTTTACAACAAACCCGCGTGATGTACCTTAATTTCATGATTTATATCTAATGGAACAATTACAAAGTGATACTTTCTTTTTCCTCAAGGTGTCCCTTGAATGTGTTACCCCATTTGCCGTTGTAAATGAATCAGCAAGGTATCATCCGCTTAATATTCGTTCATATATGTTCCGTTTCAGTTTAAATTTTAATTATTACCGTTGGTTGACATTTCTGAGCTTTCTTTGTAAAAGAGATGTATCGCTCTTGCTAGACAAAAATTTCAAGAACCCAACACGCTGCATCTTCCACCCATTGTCTAACGACGTCTCAATCTGTAAGTTTCTTAAATGGTTTCGTCAGTTTTCCACCCTCTGACTTCTTTTTCGGTTAGTGGTTTTAATTTATTACAGATTTTAGCTTGTACACTGATTCATTTGGTCCCTATGATCTCCAGCTCTTAACACATCGGGTCTGGACAAGTTTCTCCGATCGATTGGGAGAGATCCCGTATACATTGACCTCGAGGCAAGTGTTCTAAACCTTTAACTTGAGAACTCTTGTTCCAGAGTTCCTTTATCAGGTTTTGACCTTTTGAAACTATGATTTTGCTTTTACAGGCTAACCCGGTGGTTGGTAAAGACCAGCCTCCAGATCTAGCTGTCTATGTTCCGTTTAATTCAGTTGTTGTTCCCGAGCTTCCTAATAAAACACCTTCTGTACAAACCCCTCCAAAGAATGAGTCAGGAGAGACTAAGCCTGTTACTTCAGGTATGATTTTAAATTATTTCCTCCAATATCATGTCCCGTACGATAATCGGAATAGTTTATATAACTCTGCTTATCTCCACCGATGCAGCCAAACCAAGCAAATCAGCCTGTAAGTTCAAGAATGTCGCTGAGAATTCAGCTCCATTAGCTTTCAAGAACCCCGAGAAATTCGTGGAGGAGATTTTGGACAAAACATCAGCTCTATTTTTGTCCGAGGTAAAAACACAAATCACAAACTCAAAATTAAACCGATTTCGTAATAGTTTGGGATAAACTCTTAAACCGGTTACATTTACAGGGGAAGGGAAAGAGTGTGGAGGCTTTGACAGAAACACAGAGAAAACGCCTTGCCGCAGAGTTAACACACCTCGCTGTGAGTAGCATTACATAATACAGATATACAGGTTTGCATTGGTTTAGAGTAAACCGTTTGTATCAATGTTGGTTTTGTTTGGGAAATTGCAGATTATGTACAAAAACACAGCGTACACGGAAGGTTTTCAAGCCGGTAAATGTTACCAACCAAAGCGACTGTAAGAGAGGTTCGGTTTGCATGCAGAATGGGAGATATTGGAGAAGAGAAAAACATACCGGTTTACGCATTCTCTATTTTCTTCGTTGTACAACAGATTTAGTTAGACCAAAAAAAATATTATGAGTATTTAATTTGAGTTTTGGATCCAGTTCAAAGCTAACTAAAAATATCACCAAATCATTGAGTTTTGATTACTTGAATTTGTGTTACAATATGTTATGGTTGATTGATATCAACCTTATGTCACCTAAGAATTAAACAGAAGATTTAGACTAGGTTTTTCTCTTAACCCTAGTATCAGATTAAGGTTAATTCTTAGAAAATGTCTTCCTTTATATAGGCATCTTAAATTATAACCCTAATGCAAAAAAAAAAGAAAACACTATAGCAAAAAATCAATTACTAAAATGTAATTCATAAATGAAAACACAATAATTCATTAACTAAAACATCCTAAATTAACTAAAACATCTTAACCAATCCTAAATGATATAATTCTCCCAAAAATCGGACACTAGAAATTGATAGAATATGGATATGTTTTGAAGAACAAGGTGGTGGATTGAATAGTCACACAAATATTGCGGAAAGACCTTTGATATTCCAGTTTATTTCTAAGATATGACAAACCAAGATAGATCAGGGGGTGGTTGTTTCTCTATAAGCAAACATAGTTCTTTTAACCTCACCAGGTCTCACAAAAGAATTTAGTTTGCCTCACAGGTTTGCTCTCAAAGGCTTTCTCTTGTTTTTTTCTCGAACTCTTTTTCTTTTGAGTGAAAAGTGTTTAGAGAGTCATTCACAGTGTTTGCTCTTTTCGTCTGCTCAAGTATCACCTGATCTTCATAGAGTTCTTGTGACGTCATTGGAGCTAGTGTGACCTCAAATGAGTAACAATTTGTATAACCATTATGGGTCACCCTCCGATCATACTGCCATGGTTTCCCAAGTAGAATATGACTGGCATCCATTGGTAGCACATCACAAATGATTTTATCCTCATACTTGCCAATGGTTATGGGAACCGTCACTTGGCTGTTCACTTACATCTCGCCTCTATCATTGAGCCACTGAAGTTTGTAAGGCTTTGGGTGCTTCTTCACTTTCATTCCAAGCTTTTTCACCATGGTAACACTCGCCACATTTGCACAAATCCCTCCATCAATAATGAGGCTGCAAACTTTGCGTTGGACATGGCATCTAGTGTGAAACAAGTTCTCTCTCTGCTGCTGCTCCTCAGGTTTAGGTTGTACACTTAGTGATCTTCTTGCTACCAACAGCTTTCCCTGAACAGGCATCTCCACATATTCTTCTAAAGATGACTCTGAATCTGGAACTTCTTCAACTTCTGATTAGATATCTCTATTTTCCAAGAGAATCATGATCTTCTGGTTAGGACATTCATTGGCATAATGTCCTTTCCCTTGAAACTTGAAACATCTTACATTTTGAGCTTTTGAAGAAGACGCCGCAGCCTTGCCCTTTGCATCTTGACTTGCGGTGTACTGATTTAGCTCCATTTTTGGCTTGACAACTTGTTTCTCTTCTGCTTGGTAACTCGGATTATTGTTATAAACTCCAAGATGACTTAGTGGAACCCCTCCTCTTGAGTTGTTGATAACACCTGTTTTTGACCACTTTTATGGATCACTTTCAGTATCTTATGCAGTAGTTTTCACTCAGTTTTAAAGGTTTTTTATAAGTGTTTTCCATGTTTTGGAGTTTTAAAAGGCTTTTCAGGAAACTTGGAGCTTTGGAGTGCATTTTGGAGCAAAAATACATTTTTGGATAAATTCAGGCAGTCAGAAGTGTGGCAACTAAAGAAGACCTTATTACCGTATGATCATCCCCAAATTTGGAGCCGTTATAGAGGAGACAACCAGCTTTCCAACACACTTGTAATCAAAGCAATTCAATGGTTAGATCTCCAGATATCATCAATGCACTGAAGGTTAATCAACACAAGTCCAGTCAAGGACATAAGCTTTCAACCGCGGCCAAGCTTGATCCCACCACGGCTCAGGGCCTTTCACCCCTGGTGGACATATGCACGAACCTCAGGAGCCCATGTAAGGTCCAAGACACTTCATGCAACTATTTTACAAGCCCTAGACGCCTACACTTGGAGAAACACTATAAATACTCATTTTTAGGTCTTTTGTAAGAGAGCCTTTTTCTTCTCTTTGAGAGAAAACTCATTTGTAGTTTTAGGTTTTATTTTTATGCATCTGTAGAAGCCCTTCATCACCACACTGTCTTCAATAAGAGAAGTTTTTCTGCAATTTTTGTTTCTTTAATTTCTTTTTTCTAAGTTCTAAACCGATGATGATGTCTATCTCAGCCATGTCTGAGTAGTCACCTAGTTGGTTGGGTGAAAGAGAAATCCAAAGGGATCCCATGTTCGAATGACATCTAGGTTTTTAGGAAAAAAGATTTCGATTTTTACATGATTCTCCCATTCATCTAAATCTCAAAGCGGTAACTCTGGATTGATCAGCCAGAGTCCGATCCTATGTTAAATCCGAGCCACGAGAGTGTTGTATCTGGGTTGCCTAAACTGGATCTTATGGATGCACCATCGTAGGAGACGAAAGCTACCTATGGAGGATACGTAAGCCAAGATGGATTCTGATCTGCAATGTATGATCCTATTCTTGCATGAGAGCGAGAGATAATTGCCATGAACAAGTGATTAGATGATTAGGGTGACGAGAGTTGGCTAATCTTACAAGTTTCTATCCTAGTTTCAGAGTCATAGAAAATCCTTGCCTAAATTCTTTGTGTTTTAGAACATAAACCCTAAAGATGGACCTTGAACCCAGCGTCGTGTTTTCAACCGATTTTTATTTCCAGCTTTTTAAATTCTCTGCATAATTAGATTTAGTGACAAACCAAAACCCTTTTTTATTAGATTAGGTCTATGACTGTTTTTAGCATCAGTTAGAAGTTCTCAACACACAAATCTCTGTAGATTCGATCCCTAAGTACTACTGCGTTTGCTGTGCACTTGCAGCTTGTCTAAGGTAAAACTTGTGTTGCCCACTGCACTCATATCAGTTGTTGCTCGACCATAAAAGCTTTGTGGTGCATCTCTTCTAAATCAACATAGTGCTGCATCTCAAGTCTGTCTTGAACGTCTCTGTTCAACCCGCCCATGAATCTTGTCATGGTTGCTTCTCTGTCCTTAGATACATCAGCTCGTAACATGAGAGTGTCCATCTCCTGGAAGTAATCTTCTACACTCCTATTTCCCTCAGTGAGTCTCCTTATTCTGTTATGTAGCTCTTGATGGTGATGGCTTTGAACAAACCGTCTCCTCATAATAGCCTTCATCTCTGTCCAAGTTTCCACTGAATACTCTCCATTGCGTCTTCTAGAAGTCACCTGTTGATCCCAGCAACTAAGTGCGTAATCATAAAACTCTGTGGCTGCAATACACACTCTGTTGATCTCCGTATAGTGTTGGCAATTGAAGACAAATAATCATTTGTGAAATATGAATCAGTGAGCATTAATAAACAGTTCTAAAAGATCACTCAAGCAAATAACAAGACATCATCATGCAGCAAATGCTTAAACCTGTAATACAGCTCTTTCAGGAATTTCATCAAACACTTTTGGTGCACGAAATTCTCAGATTCTAGATCACAAGTGATGTGCAAGGATCTAGCCTGGAGAACAGCTGTTTAGAGAAATGAATCAATGAATCTAGCCTTAAGCACTCCTAATCTAACACTTTAGCCCCCTAACCTACACATCTAGAACCTCATTAAGATGACTACTCACTGATCATACTAATCTCTCTTAAACCTTTGCAAGTTGAGAAGATTGGCATGATTAATGATGAGAAATGGAGATAGAGAAGATGGATAATGATGGATTTGCAGCTTTAAATACAAAGATCTCTCAAACTCTCTTGATTAGAACCCTTAAAATCAATATTTCTCTTCTAAAAGGGAGTCTTTTTACAAAAGAGGCAAGAAACAAAACGAATAAAGCTTAGTCCTTAGGGTAAAACCCTAAAAAACAATATATAGGTCTTAAAACGAACCGGGTCAGCCCGGAACAAACCGGGTGTGCGAGTTGGTCAGGTGCGAGTTGGGGAAAATGTCGAGTGTGCGAGTTGGTCAGGTGCTTCCCATGTCGCATGCCCAAGTCGCACAGCCATAGAAACAGTCTTGTGAGCCTATATATAGCCCAACTCGGTGTAAACAGCGAGTGTTCCTGCGGTTCAGTTCACCACCAACTCGCATGCTCAAGTCGCACATTTTTGGACTTAGCATTTTTCCTGCTTGGGAGCTTTTGATCTTGTAACGTCCCCGATCCGCAATAGGGTCGCCGGGACGGACCATGGCCGTGAAGCAGGAAACAATGGCCGAGAGTTTTAGGATGAACATGAGCCATGGTCCAGAAGGATGGGTTAAGTTCGTTAGCGTGGGACTTAGCCAAGAAAAAGAAACAAAGATAGCTCAACGAGTAGAATTGAGCTAAGACGAGCTGGAAGGGGTAAGCTAAGCTAGCTGGATCACTGCCGGGAAGCTCAGCTCAGCTGGGAAGAGTATAATACAGTTGGTCCAGCTGAGTGGTAAGTGAGCTGGCTGGACTTGGGCGGTTAAGGCCGAAGGGTTGCAAAGCCTATGCACCCAGTCAACACACCCGTTCGGCCAACCACATGCACCAGTTTGCCCAAGGCGGTTACAACAAGGAGAAATCTATAAATAGACCCCCTTGTCCCCATTTTTAGACACGCACAAACAGGGAGAGAAACTCTGCCCAAATTTCTACCAAACCGTGAGACTAAGGCAAACTGGGGGAGAGAAGTAACCTGTCCGACGGTAAGAGAAACCGACCAGAGTGGCTGGTCCGGGTCACGGAGAAAGAAGGGAAGTGATAAGTGCGGCGAAGGCCGCAAGTGACTAAAGGTACGTGTTACAGTTGTAAGCGTGTGCGGTTAAATTGTCGATCCGCCAAGCGAATCTGAAGATCGGCCAAAGTATGGGCTAGGCCAATCAGATGGTAAGTCTCAGCCGAACCGATAAGTGTTTCACCGGGCGCATTAAACGATCGGCCCAAGTATGGGCTATGCCGATTGATAACACCGTATTTTGACCACTTTTATGGATCATAATTGTACCTTATACAAGTGTTTTAACTTTGTTTTCAAAGGTTTTTAAAGTGTTTTCAATGTT